GCACCGGTGCGATGAGCACTGTGGATCGCCCCCACAAATAATGGCAGGCATCTGTCCTGGTACTAGCTGCTAAGAGCCAGGTGTTGGCGGCTAGGCATCGAATTGGTCGCATGCGAAGACCCTGCTTATCCAGCCACTGCCGGATATCGTCTTGAGTCACTCCGTGAGGGAGTGGGGAAAGCTTGACATAACATGTGGCCGGTATGTGGATCTGCTTTGGAAGGGTGGGATTCAGGATCCCTTGTGCTTCTTCGTACACCGAGCTAGGCACTCGTACTCCGTAGCCTTTTTTGCCTTTGAACGAGAGAACAAGCCCTGCTTGTTCAGGGATTTTCTTGGCTGCCTCGAGGGCTTGTTGTTTGTCTTTGTCTCGAAGCCAGACAATGGCATAGGATGGATCGATCGTAGAACCCTCATTGGTTTTTGGGTTCACAAAGATTCCCTGGGAGCCGGATTGTGCCAAGACCGTGGAAACGATAGACGTGTAAACGCGTACATGCACTTGGAAACTATCGGCTTTGTCGGGATCAACGGACCTACCGTCGGCTCTCCAGTTTCTTCCCCATGGTCTGGTTACGACACTTTTAGCCGGCTCAATGGCGAAGACTCGCCAAATGGCTCGAAGGGGTCCTTCTTGGAGTTCAGACCAAAGTTGAGCTGTGGTTTCGGATTGCCAAGCCGTGAAGGCAATCACCGAAGTTGATTCTGTAGGAATGTCTTCCTGGTCTGCTCCTCGTAATGTAACCTTAGCCGAACCCACGTAATGAATGCATGTAGCTATCACCACTTTGTTTCCTTGACTGTCTGATGCTGGGAGGTTGCAGGAATAGCACTGCTTGGTCTGTAGAGGGCATGTGGGCCCCAGGATGATCATAGCGCAGGGGAGAGTAGTTTGTTGATGTGTCTCTTGAAATCCCTGTGCCTCTGGGGCATCCAGCAGGAATACTCCAGATAGTTGTGTCTGGTCGGCCTGATTAGCAATGGGCGCACCAGATGCATCATGAAACAAGCCCTCAGGTAAGGTAAACTCACTAGCTTTGTGCAAAGTTGGACCATGGAATCTCTGTGCTGCGAAGCGACGGACACGTTTGGTTGTGTCGGTGTCTAGATCGGCGAACTCTGGTAGCGGGACATTAAAATGAAGTGCTGTCTGTTTAATTTGTTCAAGCTTAGCGGAAGGATCGCGCATTGCAAGAATCTGTTGAATCCGTGTGACACCTGCTAGCATAAGGACTTCTTTGACGAAATTGGGGGTCGAAATGCTTGAGGCTCCATTTTGGAAAAGGAAATCGGTCATCATTTGGTTAGTCCGGAGAGCCAAATCAGTTTTATTCCCTCCTCCGAATAAAACTCCAATTAAGTGCACCCTGTTGAGCGGCGACTCTCGATCTTCATGGGCGATGTAGCCTGCAAAATTTTCTTCTGGCGATAGGCGTTTGCCTCTCAGAATAGTGCGAACTGGGATAAGGGGGCCCATGAAGCTACTTGCTGCTTCCCATGCCTTAGCAAGAATGTCTGTCTTGGCGGTAAGCAGGACATGACCGTCCCAGATCACAGTAGCCCAGAGCTTAAGGGACAACCGGACCGTATTAGTAGTCGGTGACACACTTGGAGGGAGGTACCACTTGGTGATATGGGCTGCCAACATGTTGCGAATTGCTACCGCATCAACAAACAACTGCGTGCTTGTGGGAAGAATGTTCAACTGCCGGCACGAAACTCGTGGGTGCGGATCCTGGAGTTGAAACATTTGCCACCCTAAGGACCACAAGAGGTCGGTGACACCACTAGCATGGCATGTTTGAAGGAAGAGTTCGGCTTCTGTAGTCGTCAAAGTAGCTTGCAGCCAATCTCCTTGGTCCAGAAGCTACTAGGAGCAAGGACGCTACTAGGGGCTCCTGGCATCGCTACTGGGAGCAAGAACGCTACTAGGAATTCTTGATAATTCTTGAGAATATTTTTTCAGACCTAAATTCCGTTTTTTCACTCGGTCCTCTCGCTTGGAGCATCTTTGAAGCGGAAAGGTATGGCCATTTCACAGCGCCAACGTTGTCCACTCCAAACTCAACCCTGTGTCTCTTGTGCAGCGCAGAACGCAAGATATCACCCGCAAAGAGGCCTCTGGCAGTGAGAGCAGCTTGTGGCAAAGATGGATTGCTGTCATCCTCCTGAACAAGCTCCAAGATTTCCTTCAACTTCTCATCAGACAAATTCGGATTGAGAATGAACTCGCGCAGTCGATCACCTCAAACTCATGTTGAAGAAATGGCTGAAAACAACCAGAAAGGCTGACAAATGAGAGCATGATAGGGCCCTGATAGGGCCAATCTCTCATCTACAACTCTCAGGGATTTACAACCCTCCTGCCCCATGTACAGTCGTTCCTTGTACCTCACTGACCAAAATCAGCTACCGAGCTGCGAGTCTTCAAAGGAAGATTCCGGAGGCCACCCAACTTCTCATGCTTTTCAGTGGTGGACAACAAACCTTCGCAAAGAGATTGCGACAGGTCTGCCCAATCCTCTCCATTTCCTCCGTTGATTTCTAAAGGCTCAGGATTGTTTAGAAATAAGATCGACCTGGTTGCCCCAGACACTAAAGGCGTCGCTTTCAAGCCCCCTCTCTCTCGGTGCTGTTCGTCATAGCGCGGGAACGGTCTCCGACGTGGCACCGTTGGGAAAGACGTAGAAGACAAAGGGCCCGAGCAAGAGTCAAGAGATTTCAAGGGAAAAGCGGAGCTCAGAAACTGGAAACCGCAAGAAACCTTCTGGAATCCCATACAAGACCTGCCTACAATACTCCCGCCCTTGATCGGCTTTCACGCACTATGTCCTGGAGAAGAGCGCAGAAGCAATGGCAAGGCCAATGGGAAGAGTGGCGGAAATCACCACCAGCCAAGGAGAAGCAAGCAAAGAAAGGGTCTGGCAAAGGTCAGCCAATCGTGTATGGATGAGACGGAAAACCCATTCAGTTAGATGGAGACTCGAGGGGTAGAAAATGGTCATCCTCATATGGACCGCACTGGCAAACGAAGTCGTCGCTCAAGCAAGAGAACCAAAGGCTGAAAGCTGCCATGCGACAGGTGATGGAGACAGAAAGGCCGTCGGAGCAAGATCTCAATGCAGTGAGAACTCTCATCCACTGCGCAAGAGACAAAAAAAATTGAACGAAGAAAGGGAAAGCCTGAACAAAGCAAGAAGAGCTGGAAACAGCGGAGGCATACTATGCCAGTTGAAAAGAGAACATTACACAGGGACTGGCACAAGAAGAGAAGAGATACACATCTCAGCTGGAAGAGTTGAACCAGGTACTATGTGCACCAAGAACTTATGGATGTGAAAACACAACTCGACCAAATGATGAAGTATGCCAGTGCAATGGAGCAGAGGAACGTTCAGCTGACCGATCAAGTGACCAAGCTGGTGGCGGCAATGAGCTCCAGGGAGCGGAGAGAGCGAAGCCTATGCCAAGGCGAAGCACCACTGTCATGGAAGATGCAAAAAGGGCAGCGATCATCGCCAAACTGGAGAGTGGTGTGGACGACCGGGACCACACTTGGCTCAAATCCGAGCTGACAAGGTCTCGGAGCGCTGCGAAGCTCTCAATGCGCAAGCAAACCCGGAGTCCTATTTGACCAATGCAAGTTTGCCGCTCATTCAGAAGGCGAAGGACGCAGACGAGAAGGCAATGCAGAAGGCTGCAAAAGCCAAGATGAATCCGGGAGCCACATTCCAGATGGAAGACAAGAATGACAAGAATTGTGTTCTCCAACCTTTCAAACCAAAGAAGGTATCGGCAGAAAGGAGTGGGCCCTATACGCCACCCCTGCCTATTGAAGTCCCAGTGGGCCACGAAAACGAAATGCCTCGATCGCCAGGGCTGGACAAGCTCGACGATCGTTAGAGGCGTGTAACAGATCAGTTCCCTCTAGAGGTTTGTTGCGCCAACTTTGGCAGCAGCAACCCGGACAATTTTGAGTGTGATGCAGCAAATCTAGAAGCTCCAGCTGTGCGAGTTGTTGCTACTGGAGCAAGCTGTTTGCGGTTTGGGATCCAGGAAGAGTTCTTCTACTCTTGTAAAGGTGAGTCTTGACTGTGAACAGTCAATCAGGGATGATCTCGTCTATGATGACGGGGAAGATTTTGGAGGTGAGTCAGTGTTTAGCCGAAAAGCTGTGTATATGAGGTATGCCAGGACAGCTCTGCTGATGAAGGTTTGAGTTGGACTTTGACAAGCTGTTTGCGCTTTCTTGGCTCCTTGAAGGCAAACATCTGGATGCGGTGTATAACTGCGTGCCAGTTTCTTCCGAGTGTGATTGCTTTTCTTGGTTTCCAGATTAGTGTGGCTTTTGCTGCAACATGCCTCTTTTGTGCAGCACAAAGGATCATTGGTGTGTGTGGGAGATCTGCACACATTTTCCATTGTCAGCAGGTTTGTCGACTACCCTGTGCCGTGTCGCTTAATGAAATCTCCCAGCTACTCCTTGTGCCAGGGATCTTCTTGCTTGTTTGTGCTATCGCCGCTGTTAGCGACCCCAGAGGAAATCGCGATTTTATGGTTCTGGGTGGGGTGGGGTGGGGCATGTTAACGTTCGCTTGCACTTGCGTCACGAAGTTGATGCTTCGTTGCAGGGGTGCAACCTTCAGGCTGTTCATCGGGCGGTTTCAACGCTGGGTTGAAGACCACCCTTGTGGAAAGGATGAAGCGGCCACACGCGGATGTGATCGTTGGGGGTATCGGTATTGGACATATGAATCTTGATGCGATGGCCTCTTGTCTTGTGCGCTGCTCTTGTAGGACACTCTTGTCGCGCAATCATGTAGGACTTTTTGGTCGGCCACTCTGACCCTGACTCTCACCCTCTCGCCGGGCACCCTTTGTGGGGCGCTCTTGTAAGGCACTCTTGTAGCCCACTCTTTTGGGGCACTCTTGCCGCGCACTCTTGTGGGACACTCGTGTGGGGCGTTCTTGTCACGCACCCTTGCGGGACAGCTTTGTAGGGCAATCTTGTGGGCACTCTGTTGTGGGACACTCTTGTAGGACTTGCAGGACACTCTTGTGGGACACAGACACTCTTGTAAGACAGTGCCATGCTGCCTCAGCCACGCGCAAAGTATTGCGCCTGCCACAAAAAGTGACTACGCCGCACTGTGACATGTCTAGCAAAATTTCAACCGCGCCACACACGCTTGGACCGATTTCGACGCATTGCTGTTCCACCCGGGTCCCTCAAGATCGCAATTTTTACGTAATCACGAAAGCACGGCTTCGAGGCAAGCGCTTCGAGAGCAAACCTCACTGGCACAGCGGCCTTCAAGACCACCCTGAGAACGCCAATCCCAATGGCAGGGCGAACCTGCGCAGCAAAAATCATCCTTCGCACTTGGACATGTTCCGTTTCTGATCTATTTTGCCCGAATCTGACACTTCATGCTTCCATCCTCGACCTCCTGCTAAAGCATCCCCCAGCCAACGATAGCAAATGGTTGTGAACACGAGATCAACGTCATGCGAACAAGCTTCTACCCCCACCCCAACCCTTCGACAAACGAACATCTATGCCCTCCTATATCACCTATCACTCTTTTGGCAAAGCTACTCTCAAACCATCTCGTCGCTCAAATATCGGTCTTCCGAAAGCTTGATCTGTATTCCAAATACGGTCTTCTTTTGACACTCAATCCTTCTTGCTCAAAAGCGAGGCCTGCTTCACTTTGCGCTAACAGGTCCTGGTGGAAGCTGTCCTGATCCAGGAAAGCTGACGCAAATTACAAAGATTCAGGATAGGAAATTGCAACAAGTGGCGTAAACTGAAGAAAGGGCAGGACAGGAACGGTTCTGGCTTCACCCCTCCCATTCAAGCAATTCCCTTGACAATCTGTTCCAACCTTGAAGAGGGCATGCATGTCACAGCCATGTATCTGAGCCAAACAAACACCGTATGTTCACAGTCATTATGGAAGGTTTGCCATTGACATTCTTCAATCCAGGTCCTGCAATAACACCGCTTGTCGAACCATCCGTCACAAGCCCTGCCTAAGACCAATCTCTGTGGACAAAAACAGAAATCAACGCGACAAAGAAAGTTATTTTACGTTTTAAATTTTAAGGACCATTTGTGGCAAACAATGTCTGCCTCACTACCTGATGCCAATAAAAGCTGAATAGAAAGCATCCTTCTTTGATCGATATCAGCGATATCAGTGTCAGGCCACACTTCGCATGCGCGAGAAAATGTTCTGCAGCGAGCGTGCATCTCTGTTGCGTGTCAACAGAGTTATCATGGGCGTGAAGGAGGCAATGTCTGGCTGGATCTTTGTTGACGCCTGAGGACTTGAGCTGTGCAAAGGAAAAACTCTGTCGCGCTCTTGGTGACAAAACAGAACCCGCGTGACCCAAAAGCAAAGAAAGTGAACAGCCGGTATCACGCCCCCTCCATATTCCATCCACAGCCCGTCGCCCCTCCCGTCCGCCCTTCCATCTCCCCGCCCATCCCGTCCACCCTTCCGCTCGCACACCCCTCCATCTTCCACCCGCCCCCCCACAGCCCCGCGTCGCGCCCTTCCATCTTCCATCCGCCCATGCCCTTCCCGGAAGCACGCCCCCTCCATGCATCCGACGCCCCCATCCACCCCAGCCACCCTCCCGTATCGCACACCCCTCCATCTTCCGTCCACCCTCCCGTATCGCGCCCCTCCATCTTCCATCCACAGCCCCGTCCACGCCCGGCCACCCTACCGTATCGCGCCCGTGCTGCGTGCGCGCTCCACCCTCCCGTATCGCGCCCCTATCCACAGCCCCCATCCACTACCGTACGGTCCACCCTCCCGTATCGTGCACCCCTCCATCCTCCATCAACAGCCTCCACCCTCCCTCCATCTTCCCCCATCCATGCCCACCCACCCTCCCTATCGCAAAGATTCGCAAAGTATAGTAGGTTTGTGAAGGTGTCCAATTATCGCTGACGATACGCGACGGTGCGTGACTCTGCGTGACGCTGCGTGACGATGCGTGACGCTGCGTGACGCTGCGTGACGATGCGTGACGATGCGTGACGATGCGCGCCGACGCGTGAGAGTGAGTTTTAGTGTGGGTGAGAGTGAGTGAGTGTGAGTGAGAGTGAAGGTGAGTGAGCGCGGGCGGGAGTGGGAGTGAGTGAGAGTGGGAGTGGGGGAGTGAGTGAGTGTGAGAGTGAGAGCGAGTGCGAGTGCGAGTTTGAGTGTGAGTGAGTGAGAATGAGAGTGAGTGTGGAGTGTGAGTGTGAGTGAGAGTGAGTGTGAATGTGAGTGAAGAGTGAGTGTGAGTGTGAGCGTGTGTGAGTGAGTGAGAGTTGTTCTTTCTTCTCTTGCTTTGAAAGCCGTAAAGATTGATGTAATACGTTCTGCATGCGTCTTCATGCGTCTTCGTACCTCTTCATGCGTCTTCTTGCGTCTTCGTACCTCTTCATGCGTCTTCGTCGATAATTGGGACCCCTCTATCGCCAACAATGCCCTATCAGCATAGGTTTGTGAAGGTGTCCGCTGACGCTGCGTGACTCTGCGCGACGCTGCGTGACGCTGCGTGACGATGCGTGACGCTGCGTGACGATGCGTGACGATGCGCGCCGACGCGTGAGAGTGAGTTT